AAAACGCCCCTTTTCGCTCTAAACCGACCCCGATTGTTGCTGATCCCATCCTAGACCCCCTATGACCTTTTAAAATATATTTTAAACATCCAAATACTATCTAACATGACAATTAACTCGATATACCATTACATTCAAAAATACGAATGATTATTACAGTGTAATTTCGTTGCTAATCGGATACCGTCGCCTGTCACGTTCAACCATAATACAAACATGTGAGTTCTAATATCATTTTCATAAAGTTCATAATCATGCTATCCCTAAACTTCACACATATAGCACTCAAACATAAGTTAAAGCATGATCATAATACAAGTGATTAGCACGTAAGAAGTAAATAAAAGTTCGGGCGTTGCGGATGGTCCCCCAAGTGATCATAATTAATTCGGGATCAAAATATCTATCAACACTTCCAAAAATGGAAGAATGAGTCATATTGTTTTATCTTTTGTCATGTGACGTCTTTCTGTACTCATTCTAATTTATTTAGACTAAGTCAACTTTCCACATCATATTATTGATCTCTAATATGTGTAGGATGGTCCCAATAATTCATATGATGTACAATTATAGGAGAAAACCTTACTCCCATAATTCATCCCAAAAATGACCAAAAGTGGACTATAGAAGTTTGTATTCTTTTCTAGTCATCGTTTCATTTATTTGTGACCTTTACATTTATACTCTTGGACTACAAGACGTGTGGGCTACCCTCGAGTGGGCCTAGTTCGCCATTTTCCAAGTACTTACTATTTTTAGCAGGTTGGGCCCAAAGTAACAATTTGGGCTGTCCAACCTTTCTTATTTGGTCTAGAAGGGTTATGAATCTTTCTTTATATTTTATTGGGCTATTAGGTCTAATAAGATGACCCATTAAGTATTTGGAAGCCCATATTCATAGTACGGGCCCAAATGATAGTACGATTAATCATACATTTTATAAAGCATTAATCGTTTTACAAATGTCAAATGATAGGGAAATCAATACATCAACTTTGAATTTTAAATTGAATTTCAAGAGCGTCCGGGTGCAGTGTCATATGATGTGTCGTGGAATGGTTGAGATGGTTGTTTACTCAATTTGTGTCATGCTGTTTTGATGCATTTCATTAGAGGAGTTGAAGTGGTTGTGCTATCGGTGGGTGCAATGCGAACAATATCATTATCTTCATACATCGCCCTTATTATGTGTAGTGAAGACTCATGCAAAATTTTATGATACAAAATGGGCTTGAGCTATGTGGGTAGTTGGTTGATGAACACGAGTTGTCTGGTGAAGTCCTCAATTGAATTATGTATTCCCCCGCCCCTACAAAGTACATAAAAACATCAATGGTTAGTTTCATATATGCAATATACCTTCATAATTTACAAAAGATCATAATCTCTTTATCATGATATATATATATATATATATATCATATATATATATATTGACAAATTAGATTTGACAATATATGTATGATGGAGTATATGGCCCGGGAACACTCGGCCCACAGACTCCTACTACTCCAGTAAAGGCCCAACAGGCCCAGAAGGCCCAACAGGCCCAAATCACAGCGCCCAGAGTACCAAGCAGCCCGCAAGGCGCACTAGGGGTGCCTTCGGCCCCCTGGCCGAAGGCTCTAAACTCTCACAGAACGGGTTTCTCAAGCAAACTAAGAAACTGGGAGGAAAACGGCAGAAAACAGTAGCCCTCGGCACCTGGAGCCCTCGGCACTCAGGGGTCCTCGGCACTAAGAGCCCTCGACTAGTCCTCTGCAGCCGAGGGCACCTCTCCTGACATGACATCCGCATCGCATGCGCACAGATCACCGTACCCTGTACAGATGTCCCATCCAACAGCCGCATTAAATGCGGCCACATGCGGCTGCCAGCGCCAACCATTTGAGGTGACCTCTCGGCCAATGGGCGCTTGACGCATGTCCCTGTCCGGCATTTATTGCTACTATAAATAGCACCCCATTTCCCCATTTGTAACCACGCTGAAAACGCTCCACACTTATAATATACTTTCTCTCTCTACATTTACTTGCTCTGACTTCTCTCCTATTACTCCCCGTAATAACCCCTCGGATAAGCTACCCCCGGGTACACTATCCATCAATGTAATATACCATTCATAATTTACAAAAGATCATAATCTCTTTGTCATGCCAGAACATGCATTACACGGGAAAGAGATTGAATGAATATGTAATGTTTTGGCAATGTCATAATATTCTAGGCTTAGTGCAACAGAAGAAGAATTGAAAAAAAATTGTTGCTTGTTTAGATAAAAGGATGAAAAAATTATAGTCAAACTGATAATAAAAGTATTAGTTTATCAGCAATTTGATTCAATTAACTTGTTGTTACTTTATCCAGCAATTTGGTTGAATTTTTCCTTTTTTATACATTCAAAGTTAAGAGTGGTAGGCCTTAGTAGATGATTCAACGGGCATGAAAGAAGTTATCCTTAAGATATAATCTACCTTGTTTGCTAACCACGACAAAATATTTACCTTAAATTGTGTTTACTATTTCCATTACATATCTCGTCCTACTTTTGTACTTGGTATAGTATTTCACCGAATTATTGACAAATGCAATTGAAATATTGCAATTTCCATTTAACATGAACCCTATATGCTATAGAATAAAGTCTTCTCAGTTTCTGATCCTAAATCCAGGTTTTTCTTTTACAACTTGTAAGCTTTGAAACAATCTCATCTAATACAAGGATTTCATTCCTTGTTTTGTCTGTATCGATATTTTTCATTGTAGGTTTTACATTTATAATCTATTCAGCAATAAGTGTGTTTATGTTATCACACTTTTGATTTGCTTTTGTGTTTAATTTGATGGTGTTGTATTCCAAGATAGTGTTAGGTGGGACTTAAGGTGTGTTAGACTGACTCTCAAACCTTTTATTCAAATACACACATTTTATTTTATATATTAGGAAGATTTTTCTATAAAGCTCATAATGTTATGATTGAAGATGTGTTCTTCTTTGCATAACAATTAATTTGATTCATATTCTAGCAGATAAGGCAGCTTTGCATGCATCTAGGGATATAATTTGTAGGAAAAAACAACAGGTTGCGGCTGCATACTATATCTACATTTTTAGCAATTTACCTGCAAATCTTACTTGTATTTGTATCCATTTTATTAACAGAGAGTATGTACATTCATTATAGAGATTTTTTGCACAATTGGGCAGTTTTTTTCCATTCTATTCTCATGCTATGCGTGAAGCCAACTGGACCGCACATTTCTTGGCGAATCAATCCCCGGCCCAGTTTACAACCTATGCCCGAATTTTGGATCTACCAGCCCAAGCTAAAAATTCTTTTTATATGGATTTATTCGGGATTCCTTCACTTAGATTCTCTCTTTAATTTTTTGCATTTTTATGTTGCTTTTTTACTGAGAGGTTTTGGCCTAATCCCCCTCTTTTTGTATTCTTTTTGTAAGGAAGTTTTGGCCTAGTCCCCTTCCTTTAGTATTTCATTTAATCATTTTAATAAAATCCCGGCATATGACTCTCGGCATATGCCCCACTGATTTTGGTGGTTTGCCTTTCGGGATAAAAAAAGTTATATGTGTTCATAATGATGTTTGAAAGAGTTTAAACATGTGATTAACCAAAGTGATCGGGCTTATATCAAATGAACTATTGAAATATGCATGAAATATGATATGAAAATGTTTATAAAACATATGTGATGTTTTGAAGGATAAAGATGACATAAAATGATTGTTTATAACTTAATACACATTGTGATTAAGTTTGACACGAATTGGACTTGAAATGGCGGGTCAACGAAACGTTGACCGGTTGCCCATGGGGCAACCGACGCCGGTTATGGGTAGAACCAGCGCCGATTTGGGTTCGAGATTAAATTTAATTATGCACCAGCGCTGGTTAGGTCTGAACCGGCGCCAATTTGGTGTTGTTTTGCCCATATGTTGATTTTTAATGCATGTTTGCATGAATGATTATTGATTATTAATATACGAACTCAATGGATATGCTTTTAATTTGAAATACGGTTTTTTGAGAGAAAAGTCAGGAAAGCATCTTATCAATTCAACCTGTCATTCTCAATTTAAAATGTGGTTAGTACTCAGAGTATTTTTCCAAATCAATGTAGAATAAAAAAACTATTTATGAAATTAGGGTCAACCATGGTAAACTATTTACGAAAAACTATTTACGAAATGTGGTAAATATTGTTGGGTTCAACCATGAATCCATGATAGACTAAAGTCGCCAAACCAAGTGGCGACTTTGAAGTCGCCAAATGAAGTGGCGACTTTCTCATGCGGAAGTACCGAGCCGGAAGGCGAAAACAAACAAATATACACCAATATTGGATATGTGTAATTATTTTACCAAAACTTTAAACGTCCATAACTTTTTCGTTTTTTGCTCCATTTTTTATAAAAATATATACCAAAATTCACAATTTTTTAATTATCTTTCATTTTACACCAATATTGGATATGTGTAATTATTTTTTTGTGTGTATATGTGTAATTATTTTTTTGAAATAATCCGTATGGAGATTGTAGAATTGTTTAATAAGCCTTCAACATTTTTTAAAGTTTATATATCCAATATTGGTGTCAAATGAAAGAATAAAAAATTTTGAAGTTTGGTATATTTTTTATAAAAAATGGAGCAAAAATGAAAAAGTTATGGACGCTTAAAGATAAAGTGATTTTATTATCATGGGGCACATATTAATATAAGTTATACGGAGTATTTGTTTGCTTTTGGCCTTCCTGCTTCGTACTTCTGCGTGAGAAAGTCGCCACTTCATCTTGTGACTTCAAATTCGCCACTTGATTTGACGACTTTAATCTACTATGATTCGACTCAGCAATATTTTGGTAAATAATTTTAATCCTATTCTAATTTCATAAATATTTTTTTATTCAACAAAAAAAACTGTCAGTACTCGTATTTAATTGTTTATTTATGTTTACGTTTTTCAAATCAAAAGAAAAAGAAGCTCCAACCCACTGGTCCCTATCGCTCTACAAACTAAGCAGTCAAAGCTCCAATCTTTCTCTGTCACCACTTGAGCTGTTTCTTAAAGAATGCAGTTTTGGTGAAGCTATACCTTTCTCACTCTGTACATTTACCCTTACATCTGTATTATGAACATTACAAGTTTACAGCTTTCCATTTCGTTCCTAAATTGTTGTGCAATGGACGAAGGCATTGGAGGTTGTTTGTATGAATGCATTTGAGAAGGTGAACAACTTCAGCTGATTTTTCTGTTGGAATGTGTGGAGTGCAGGGACTAGATTTCCGATCTCAGGCTGTTCAATTTGCAGTTTTGTAAAGAAACGCGAACGTTTAGTTTGTTTTACGAGTCTACAGAGAAATCTAGGGTTTCTCGTGTGTGAGCATTATAAGGCTTTTCAAACGTTGATAACTGATAGATGGTTTAGGGTTTGCGTATGCAATGAATAGGAGCTTTCGAGCTGAAGAGTCACGGACGAAGCAGAAAATGGGGAGTTTGAGGAGCTCGATAATGAAAGAGAAGGACGAGGAACTCGGATTGTTCCTTGAAATGCGGCGGCGAGAGAAGGAACGCAACGACCTTCTTCTTCAAGAATCAGAGGAGTTTGATGCTCCACTTGGTATGATAGTCACAGAACCTTTAGTACTAAATATTTTAATTTTCGGAGTATGTTTTAACTTAGTACTCCTAATACATTGCTGTTTCAGAGCATTCATTGTTTTTTGCCTGGTTAATATGTTGTTATACTTTGTGTGTGAATAATGCAATATGTTGATCCCAGCCTGCCAGGGGATGAGTCATATTCATTAAACTAATTCTTAATTTATATTGCCTTTATTTCTGCAGAATTTCTTTCTTAGTCTTCCTAAACTTTTATGCCTTTGGTGATAATAAAGTAATGTGCTTTTTGCTGAATGCAGTTCAGGAAATTAGAATTATATCTCAAGCAAATGTTATAGGAATAGAAGCTAGCCAAGTTTTATTGGCTAGAGACGACAATATTGTAATTGTGAATGAGCCTTTTGGACTATTATAACCCTCATACTTTTACATAAATGTACTTTCCAGCAACCAAAACATGGCTCAATTCTACCCCTCGAGTTTTGTTGTTTTTTCTTCATGTATGTTTCTCTTGCAGGACCAAACACCGGTAGTTCTCCTGTGTTCAGTATTCCCTCAGCTGCTCCTGCTCGTAAAACTGTTGCCGATGACTTTCTCAATTCCGACAATGATAAGAATGACTATGACTGGTAATTTATTACTTTTGTCATATTATTTCTGGAGTGTATGTTACAGAGTGTTTGTTATTTTTGCTGGCTTGCTTACGTAGTTCATTCTAACGCTGTAATGTCATATATATTTAATCTATATGTCACACCCCTATGCTTGGCTATGTGTAAAGTTTGATGATTTCAATCATCATTTCATTTCCGCTGTATATATAACTGTTACAAGGTACTATTTATGGCAATGCAATTTAAGGAATTTGAATATAATTTTGGCTAATTAATTTTCTCATGAACATTAGAAATTTAAGTGTTAACATTACAGCTACTGAAAAATGGATTAGACGCATATTATGAACTGAAAATGGAATACCATGCATTATTTGTGATGTTGTACATATGTTGCACGTCTAATTTTTTATTTACTTTCGGCTAATAGGCATTCCCCCCCCCCCCCCCCCCCCCCCCCCCCCTTTTTTTTACCCCGGAAGGCAAACCACCGAAATCAGTGGGGCAAATGTCGGGGAACATTTGTCAAATTTATTAAATCAAGCAAAGAGTACACAATGAGGGGGATTAGACCAAACCTCAAATTCAAAAAGTACAAAAGTCATCAAACCAAAAATCTAATAGATGGAAGCCCAAAGAAATCCATATTTAAAGCCCGTTTAGCCTAATAGGCATTTATTGCGGCTAATGTAATAACACTTCTTGCTATGCTTCATGTTGTTTGTCTTTCAGGCTTTTGACACCTCCTGGAACTCCTCTTTTTCCTTCATTGGAGATGGAGTCACATAAAAAGGCAGCGGATAATCTGGGAACTGTAAAGCCCCGCCCAACCGCTCTTAAATCTAGAGTAAGATGATCATGGAATTTACATTTTCCATATTTGGTTTTCATAGCTAAAATCCCTCTATTGGTAATATGCATTTGGTTAACTTTAATGGTTAAGCGAATTTGGTAAATAGATCGTTCATTGCAATTAATTCCACATAAGAGCACCAATCATCCATAGGCTTATACATATTTTTGAGTAAGAGTGTTTTAACTTGGATGGTTTTTAGTCCCAGACCAGACTTCAACAGACCAGACCAGACTTCCATAGTTATAAAATACAAAGAGACCAGACTTAAACTGACCAGACCAGATTTTCATAGTTATAAAATACAAAGAGACCAGACTTAAATAGTCCAAACCAGACTTCCATAGTTATAAAATACAAAGAGACCAGACATTTACCATACCAACCAATTCCAGACGTAAACAGACCAGACCTGACCAACAAATTTCAGTCCAAGTAAAAACATCCTAAATTTAACCTTTAACATCCAAAGCCTCCATTTATAGGATGAATTGAAAAAACCACTTGCTGAGCATCAAGGATTAAACTCCTTTAGTAATAAGCGTTATTTTGGTTTTCTCACAAAGTGAAGCTGTACCATGAAAGGTATTTGTCAGGGCATATCTATTCCTGAATTTTATATATTTTCTCCGACAAAAAAAGTCCTGTTTGACCATGATATCGTAATTGACTATAACCGCTGGCCGCTTGGCTTCACTCTAAATTTACCTATAAATCAAAGTTGGCTTTTGAAATCCAACTCATTTTTTGTGTCAAAATGTTCTTAAAGAAGATTCTTTTATCTGGGAAAAGGGAGTTATTATTGTCTTTGGGTTGAAAGAATCATCAACTATGAAGTGGAGACTGGAGACGCCCCACAATAAATTTCACCAATAGTTGATTTTTGTTGTTGTAGCTTTCGAATCAACCGGAGCCCACCGCCAGAAGCAATATAATATCCAGACAGCCGGCTTTGTCCCCAGGAAATAATTCAAGTTCTGGTCTTAGAAGACCCACTTCTGCAGGGGGATCAAGGTCATCAACTCCGACTGGGCGACCCACATTGTCCACATCCAGATCTGCCCTTGCGTTGGCAGCTAAGCCAACAACAAATATATCATCTAAAGGAACGTCAACTTTAACAGCATCTAAATCATCACCAACTACCTTAACAGCGTCTAGATCTTCAAGGTCAGCCACACCTACCTCACGTGCAGTGCCCCCTTCAACCAAGTCCGCAGTTCCTCCGAGATCGTCAACACCTAATTCCAGGTCTACTGCTAGACCATTGACACCAACGTCAAGGCCTTCGATTCCCGGGTCAAAATCAACATCACGTGTGTCAACCCCAACTCGCCGTCCCGTGACTTCATCTGCAATACAGACAGGTGCTCCTCCCCCGGCCAGGTAGGCACTGTAACTGAATCTAAACAAATTGCCAAATATTCAATTCAAATGCAATATTGTAGAATATTTTCATATTCGTTGTGTATTCGAAGTAAAAAATTGATTCATATTTGATTCAGCCATGTTAGTTAATTACAGTCGCTTTGATTCAACTGTTCTTATTCAAAATTCTTATACTCAACTTTTAAAGAGGTAATATCATATTTATTTCCTCGACTATGTATTATTACTTAACATGGCGCTTAACTTTCTCTTGAAGTTTGAACTCATTCTATGTCCTTGACTATGCAATTACTATTCATTTAGTCCACAATCATATTTTACTCTAATTATGGGGGCTATTATTATCCACTAAGGACCAAAGGCAAAGTGTCTCCCAACTCGGGTCTAAATTTAGTGATTGTTGTAAAGACCCGTGCCATGTAGAATGAAATACTCCGTACATGTTAGAACTAAATGAGATAAATTGCGTTGTCGAGGACCAACTAAGTAATACTGTATTATTGGAATATTTTTCTAATTGAACATACCCGTATTCATTTTGAAATTTATTCAAATAACCATATGTATTATAATTGGAGTTATTGGAATCATGAATCAAATGAAAGTTGTTTGATTCATTAATAACCCTGTTGCCAGGTCAGCATCATCTTCAGTAGCAAAGTCATCTAGTACTACTGTATCAAGAAATCCTGCACCACCACGTGCCAGTTCTCCGACTGCTAAGCCGAGACCATGGAATCCTTCAGAAATGCCTGGATTCTCATTAGATGCTCCACCAAATCTTAGGACTTCACTATCTGACAGACCTGCTTCAGCAACCAGAGGCAGGCCCGGAGCACCCATTTCCCGCTCTTCATCCATTGAGCCTTCTGGAAATGGGAGAGGTAGACGGCAATCATGTTCTCCATCAAGAGGCCGCCCTCCAAATGGTGTCATCCACAACAGTGGAAGCTCGGTCCCCGTGCCGGCTATGAGCCGGTTGCATGCTAAAGCTAATGACAACATGAGCCCTGTAATGATCGGGAATAAGATGGTTGAAAGGGTGATAAATATGCGGAAGCTTGCTCCTCCTAGGCAAGACAATCACAAAAACTCACCCAATAGTAATTTGTCTGCAAAATCTTCATCACCTGACAGCACAGGTTTTGGAAGAACACTATCCAAAAAGTCTTTGGATATGGCTATGAGGCACATGGTATGGACTTTTTATTTTATTTTAACTGCTTTATTAAAGAAAAAAATGTTTCTGAAGGACCTGTTTGGTGATGCTTCGCTTATTATGTTAAAAAGTATGCTTTGGTTTGTTTTCAAATTTGAATCAATACACATGTTTGATAGAATTATTTCTAACATACTCTGTATAATTTATATCCTCCATCCTCAAAAATGAGTCATGTTTGAAATTTAGTTGATGTCGTAATTCATCTATTCGATCTATGTTTTATACTCCGTATATGTTGAGAGCAGAAAAATAAAAATCAACGGGGTAAACCGTTGCCAGATAATCAACGATAAAAATACCGTTGCCCAGAGCCAAAAGGCTAAAACCAATTTTATTCCAAGACGATCCCGAATGAATCCTAACAAGGGGTTTAAATACCCATCTACTAATTCTCAAACTAGGAAACAAAATCCTAGAAATCTTAATCAACTCCAACTAGGAAACAAAATAATAGAGATCCTAATCAATTTCAAATAGAAAACAAATAATAGAAATCCTAATTAACTCCTAATAGGAAACAAATAATAGAAATCCTAATTAACTCCAAATAGGAAACAAATCAGGAAAATTTAAAATAATAAATATTAATTAAGCAGCCCGCAACCAGCCCACGAAGGTGAGCTCAAGCCCGTTCCCGCCTGCCGTAAACAGATAGCCTCTTGGGTCTTGGACCCTCCTCTTCCACACAGCCGCCCTGCTCTCCCTGCTCTCTATCAATCCATCCTCCTTCACAATAACCTTGTCCTCAAGGTTGGAATCTGAAAACTGCCTCACAAAGCTCTTTTTAATCCTAGGATCTGATTTAAATTGACTGTTCTCTCTTTCTTTGCGCAGAAGAAGCACTTCTTCAGCTCTTACACCAAAAAGGAAAAAAACATCTTCCCCAGTTTCCTCTCTGATTTCCATATTAGCCCCGTCCAATGTTCCTATGATTAGGCACCCATTCAGTGCAAAATTCATATTGCTATTCCCACTGGCCTCTAACAGGACAACTTTTGAGGGGAATGAAGACCAATCAAGCCTACCCTTCCCATCATTCCTCTCCTTAAATCTGTATATGGTATCCTGAAGTGACGCACCACTTGGCAAAAATTGTTGTTTAAGTCTTAAAAGTTTTCCACTTTCTGTTGCATCGTCGGGATCAAAGACAGCACAAATATGTTGAACACTAGAGTGAAACTGTGTAGCAGATTCATATTGACCGCCGTTAACTTGAAATAAGTTTATATCCTCTGCACTAGCTTTGGCCTACCAAAGTGTAAGACTATTTGTGTTCTTTGTTTTATAGCCAGGAATTGGAACATCATATGCAACCGCCCGCCTGTATGACCTCCCCACCAATCCCTTTCCGGGAGCCATTGGGGTCAACATGATCATCAGAAACACAATGTCATACCCTGCAACTTCCCAGTGACTGAATTTCTCAAGCCAACCTTCAGTAACTTCCTCTCGTCCAGCTTCCGTAATGCGTTGCTTGTGTAGTCCATACTTGTACCTCAGTCCATAACCCCATGCTGGCGAATCTAGGGTTGCCATGGAATCAAGAAAGCAGGAAGCAAGCCTTCCTGACCCACAACTTCCTAGTGCTGCATCTTTCTCTGGCTCAGCAATCTCCTCAAGTTCGCACGCAGATGCTGATGCAGAATCCAGTGACGCGGCTGTTGATGAGTGCCCTTCTGCCGTCAGCGGCATAAAAGTCTTCATGAGTGCAGTGAGCGCAGCCAAGGAGGCTGTGATCTCTGCCAGTTGAACTCCTCGAGCGTCCAATTTCTGGTTTAACGAGGCTAGTTTGGCCTCCACCACCGTCAAAAGCTCCATGTTCGATTTTTTCATTCCGGCGGGAACGAGATCCGGCAGGTCGGACCAATTGTTGTGTAACAGAAGACTAAAATCAACGGGTTGAACCGTTGCCCAGATAATCAACGATAAAAATACCGTTGCCCAGAGCCAAAAGGCTAAAACCAATTTTATTCCAAGATGATCCCGAATGAATCATAACAAGGGGTTTAAATACCCATCTACTAATTCTCAAACTAGGAAACAAAATCCTAGAAATCCTAATCAACTCCAACTAGGAAACAAAATAATAGAGATCCTAATCAACTTCAAATAGGAAACAAATAATAGAAATCCTAATTAACTCCTAATAGGAAACAAATAATAGAAATCCTAATTAACTCCAAATAGGAAACAAATCAGGAAAATTAAAAATAATAAATATTAATTAAGCAGCCCGCACCCAGCCCAAGAAGGTGGGCTCAAGCCCGTTCCCGCCTGCAGTAAACCGATAGCCCCTTGGGTCTCGGACCCTCCTGCTCTCCCTGCTCTCTATCAGTATATAATGTCCGAAAAAATCTGTATGAGCAAGTTAATCATGACAAATCAAGTTAAACGTACAATATAATATAAAAAAAATAATTAGGATTTTAGGACTTTAAGCAGTATCATGCCAAAAAAAAAGTTGCACCTTGACCAAAGATGGCTTATGTTTTGGGATGGAGGTAGTACATTCTTTGTGTTTATTATGCAAATAGCCAAATATTTGATTTTTATAGAAATTCTAAGCTTTATATGTACTTTAGAAACTGGAAACAAATTTTTGAAAAAGGAAATAATAATTGTTCATGTTTCCTGTAAATTTCGAAGTTCTTGTTTTGTTTCCAGAACCTGAAAACAAAACTCTTAAGCCAAACATGTTTTCTTTTTTTCTTTTTATCTTTTTTCAAATGACAGAAAACAAAAGTATTATAAAACTGCATCTAATAGAATATTATAATATTTTTGAAATATTTTGTTGTTGACAGGATATAAGGCGAGCAGTTCCAGGTAATCAACGGCCATCAATGACTAATATCCCGGCATCATCGATGTACAGTGTGAGATCACGGCATAGTAGGAGCAGGACAGTGAGTGTTACCGATTCACCACTAGCAACAAGCAGTAATGCTAGTTCTGAAGTCAGTGTTAATAACAATGCACTTTGCATTGATGAGGTTAGCAGTGATAGAGGTGGGGTTCGATCTCCCGCCAGCATCCGTAGTAGTAGGTAACATCTCTGAAGCAGTAGCAGCATCTTGAGAGCTGAACATTATTTAAATTGCTTTTTGAGGAGAATTCTGTGGACAAGGTTCAACTGGCGTGAGTATGTAAAGATGCATGAACTAGGTAGCTTTTGTAGTTAGTGCTTCTGTATCATCATTAGAAACCCTAATCCATTTTTATGCTCTATTGTTCTTCAGAAAACAAAAAACCCCTCCTGCTTTTGTACTTTTTAGCAAACTAGATCGTAGTAATGTTCTTGAAAATGCACCAATTTTAGTCTCATCACTTGGGTGACCAAATTTCATTTTTTGGCCTTCACGGCTTCACCAAAGCAACATTTTTTGATACTGATCCCTAATAGAATTGTTCGGGATTCAGATACGGGAGAAATCATTTAATCAACTAATAGAAGTAGTCGAGGACTGAAAGTAGGGATGGACTGGGCCTGGATCGGGTTCGGGTCGTGCTTTGTGTGGTATTGGGCTTGGGAGTTGGTGGCCCGGTATCGGCCCGGGTAGGTTCCGGGCCTGGGTTGGTTCATAGTTTTTTTTTAAATTTTGTTTTTCTTATTTATACCTACGGCCTACCCCCTCCAGGCTCCACCCCCCAAACACACCCAAACCACCTAGCCCAACCTGCCTACAACCCAATGCCTTCAAAAATATTTTTTAAAAAATAACCGGCCCGGACCGACCGGGCCAGTTCCAAGAGCTCTGAGGCTCGTGACTATTATTGGTGGACTCGGGCCGGTTCAGGCCCGTTCGGGCCGCCGGTTTGTATGACATGGGCCCGGGACCGGCCCGAGGGTTGGACGGGTCCGGTTCGGGCCGGGCCACCCGCCCGGGTCACGGGTCCGGTTCGGGCCGGGCCGGTTAAAGTTTTTTTTTTTATAATTTATATTTTATAGTTTATAGTTTTATACGAGTATTAAAAACAAACTTCAAGTGCATTTATTTGAAATGAAATATGAACTACATTTGAAAATTAAAACAAATTTTAAGAGACAAACATTTTGAAAATTGTAATCAATCGGAACTTCCCGCACCTCCCGATCCTTTGGCTTTGTCACATGACTTCATATGCTTGATTGCCATCCCGTATCCGCCTGAAACCCCCATGCTACATTTTTTCTCACACCATTTGCAAATTGCGTACCACATCCCGGTCTTCGGGTCCTTCTGCTTATCAAAATTATACCGTATAATGACATCTTGATTTTCCATCTTAACTTCTTAAGTATAAACTATAAAGTAGATATATAAATACAACAACAACATCCAAGCCTTAGTCCCAAAAGATATTGGGGTCGGCTAACATGAATCGATACATGATATCACAACCAAAAGGAAAAGAAGGAATAAAGATAAAAAGATAAGCTATTATGAAAAGATAATATAAAAAAAATGAATATATATATAGAAATGATAAAATAAAAAGGTTGCAAATAATGCTTATAAATATATATATATATATAAGGATAAAAAAAAAAAATTGGAGAATATATTGGAGAATAAGAGAATTAGAGAGTAGAGAGTTGGAGAATTGGAGAAGAGATGAAAAAATGTTTAAGATTAGGAGTATTTATAGGTTTTTTTACCCCCACCCCCCACCACCTCCCCACCACCCAACCCCCTGCACCCCACCCAACGGCTATATAGCCGTTTGGGTTGTCCCCAGCCCACCCCCAACGGCTAGTAGCCTAGTACCAATTTATTTTTTTTAAAAAAATCAGACCGTTGGCCCGGACCCGGGCCCGACCCGGCCGGGCCGGGTCACATTTATCCGGAACCGTGCCCGCCCCGCCCATTCCCACCGGTTCGGGTCCACACCCGGTCCCGGACCGCCCGACCGGGCCGGTCCCGGGCCCGCACAGTACCGGGCCGGGCCGGGTCACGGGCCGGGTGGCCCGAACCGAATCCAACACTACTCGTGACCCGCCCAAAAAACTTCCCGGTTCGTGCCCAAGGCCTGGTTCGGATCTCAGATCCTGATCTACTGGGCCGTCTGGGCTGGGCTGGTACCACAAAGTGGCGGTCCGGTTTTGGTACCAGGCTGGTCTGATTGGTTCTGGTACCGGGATGGTTCGACCGGTTTCGGTCCATCCCTAAATTAAAGGGGTAAGACTATGCATGGACTCGGGCCGGATGGCCCGACCCGGAACCGGCCCGGGATCGGTACTGTTCCGACCCGGCCTGATCAGGGACCAGTACTGTTCCGGCCCGGCCCGACCCGGTGGCCCGGTCAGTGACCGGTTCGGGTAGGCCCGACCCGTGGGTTTTCCGATCCGGGCTCGGGTCACCCAAAACAAGGCCCGACCCGGTCGGGTCCGGGCCCGATTCGGGCCAAATTTGATTTTTTTTTCAATTTGTTTTTAAATTTTCGGGTTGGACTGGGTATTTTGGGCCATTTGGGGTGGTTTGGGGGGTTGGGGGTGGGAGGGGGGTTAATTAGGAAGGGGAAAAAATTGATAATGGGCCCGGCCCGGACCGGACCCGGTGGTTACCCGGGCCGGTCCCGGGTCCACCACTCCTGAACCGATGGCTCGCCCGGGCCTAGGACCGACCCGGCCCGGATCCGAGTCCACCCCTAGGTAGGACACAGAAAATAAAAAGTTAGGGAATCAATTGTGTGAATTTTCAAATAGTTATGGGATCAACAATGTAAAAGTTTTGTATACCTCAGTACCAAATGTTGAGTACTAGGGATGGATTCGGGCCGGGTTAGGTCCGGGTCGGGCCTAGGCCCAGACGGGCCTAGTCCAGGGCGGGCCAGCGGTTCTGAATAGGTGGACCGGGACCGGCCCGGGTAGCCACCGGGTTCGGGCCGGGCCGGGCCTCAGGCTTGGTTAATTTTTTTTTGATTACCAACCTATCCCTGACCCCCCTCATCCCCCCAAACCCCTCCGAAACATCAAGCCCAACCCAGGTGGAGCCCAAAAAAAATGAAAAAACAAAAAAAAAATCAATTTGTCCCGAACGGGCCGGACCTCCTTTTTACCAACCTGAGCCCGCCTCGCTCAACCTAAATAAACGGGCCTTAGACCGATTTTGGGCCCGAAGGTCCGGGCCGGTCCGATCCCGCACAGTAGCGGGCCAGGCTGGTTTTTGGGCCGGGTGGCCCGAACTATTGAGTACTCCCTCTGCCTTTTAAAACTTTGACGACATTTGATTTGAAATAACAAAGTATAGAATTCACATAGTTGAAGTTTGTGTAGTAAAAATATAAATAATACTGAGTAATACATATTTGCTACTTTGAAGAAAAGTGAGATTTTTTCGCAACCACTAAATAATGTTAGGGTTGGCAACTTGGCAATATGTGAAAGTTAGGGAGTATCATTTACCAAAACAGTTCTTCAAGCGTGCGTGGAAGGAAAATAATAATAACTTGTCATAGGGGTGGGCACGGTCCGGTAAATTGGTAAAATCTGTAATGTATCCGTGAGGTTTTTAACGGTCCGGTACGGTCCGGTTCCAAGTATAGAAGAGTTCGGTACCATGTCGTTTCGGAACGGTACAAAACGGTACGATACAAGTATAGAAGAGTTCGGTACAAAACGGTTGTAATTAGTATATATCATCACACCAACCAAATCACATGAAATGTTGATATAAATACAAGAAATTACATACATAGTACTAAAATTCACAAGTACACAAATAGTGCAACACAACTAAGAAAAAGTATAGCAAAACGATGACGCACGAGATAAATATCATCTTTAATTTACTAAGTTCATGTGAAAATATAAAAACGAATATCATCAAATTGTTGAATATAATAGAAATATTCAACATTCATCTTCTTCTTCTTCTTCTTCTTCTTCTTCTTCGTTCTAGGTTAAATATTACTTTGTAGTTCTAATTTAATTTATAGTTGAACCTTGAGAGCTAAGATTTAAACCATATTAATTAAGTTGTAAATATTGCACATATATGATCCAACAAAAAGTTATGTACACTACATTACTAGAAATAAATAGTCATTAATGATTTCTAAAATTTCAATATTCTTTCAATAAATACCAAAATATAACATAAATTATCTAACAAGAAAAAATCACAATATATATATATATATATATATATATATATATATATATATATATATATATATATGATGGAGTAATGGGACTAGGCCCAGAGCCTAATCAGCCCAAGCCCCAAACTTGGACCCATGGATCCAAGTCCATAACCTGGAGCCTGCCAGCTAGCCCAGCGGGGAGCCTGTCAGTCCGGCCGACCTCCTAGCCCGGAAGAGTAACGGTCGAGCAATTAATGCACTATTAATTATGTATTTAATTCCGTATTAATGTTGTAATTAATTAGTCATTATTATCGGTAGCAGTTATGATTTGTATACGCCTATAAAAGGCGGGTTGTAATTCAGATTAGAGGAAGCAATTTTGAAATGCTATTTCTGGCTAACTTTCCATATTCGTACTTTCCTAATTCTTGCTTGAGTGTCGTACGTAGCTTTCCTAAAAGCCTACGAGCGTCCTATTTTGGACCAACATTGGTGCTTTCATTGAGAGCCTCTATTGATCTCTCAGATCACTTTAGTAGGAAAAAATTCAAGAAATTCATCCCAATCCAAGGTGCTACAGTTCCACTTCCTCCTGTTCTCTTCGCCAATCACAGGTGGATGCCGTGCGCCGATGTCGCTGCTGGTCTCCCTCATCGCCACGCCTATTCATGAGATAGGCCTTCAAATGTGCATCACCTAATTTCTATGGAGCAAGAGTCTGCTCTGCGTTAAAGTGGATGGATCAAGATTACACTAAGACCAAATTTGATTCTCCTCAAGGATGATGGGCTGAATTTTCAGCAACGCATTCGGGCCCGTTTGGCTCTAAAGCTAAGTTTCCAAAAATCCTCTATATTTGATACAAAAAAAATCATAAATTCAAACATTTGAAAAGATTATTTAAGTGGTTTAATTGCTTTTACTCTTGTCAAGCATGTGTAATTTTAACATTGAAAAACGGGCTTATGAAATCCGATCACTCACGTACACCGGGCGAGCACACACACTCGTACACTGGTCGAGCACACACACTCGCGCCACCGGGTCACGTCACATGGGTGTGGCGATTAATAAGCTCTAATATAAATGTTAATACCGCACACTCTTGACTTCATACAAGTTCTTGCGTGCTCTTACCCTTTCCAAGTGCATCACACTCCGACCTCGGGGGACGAGTCACCCGTTCAAAAGTTTTTACTTGCGGGTTCAAACTACCAACCTCGGGCGGCGAGTTAAACTCTTATTAAGGGCCTAGAGC